GGTTTTGCCACTGACACCAGGTTAATGCTTTTGCAGAGAAGAGGAAGACAAATTTTTCCCAACACCAGCAGGAAAATAATTTGCTTTTCTCACTTTTCCAAGAAGCATGACCTGGAAGAAAAAACTTACTAGTTACAGAGGGTGGATGCCCCATACACCAGAGTGGCCAGACCCTGGTCTGTTGGTCTGAGTGTCCACCCATTTCAGTGCACTGAGCCTCCTGCTTGTCCTGTGGAATTCAAAGCCCTGCTCAGGAAAACCTATGAATGGAATCACCGTATAAAACACAGAGAGATTAAAATCAAATCCAGCCTACAGTGTACTCATCTTCAGACATGTCTGCAGCAAGGTGCCTGAAGAAAGGCAGCTCGATGGAATGATTAAAGAATTGAACCAAGAGGAGTCAATGAAGCTGAGTTTAAAGAACGTGGGCTGGAGCTGTGTTCTGGAATCTCATCAATTAACTTATTCTTTTCATTTTTGTTCTATCCCTAACCTTTGGCTTTTTCAGTAGGGAAAAGCCCAGCCAAATTTCAACCTATGAAGAAGTATCTAATTTTCCTGTAACAGAAGTCTGTTGTCAAATTGCACTGTGCCTGAGTCATACCTAGATGACAACCATGCATTTTTCACAACTACCTGAAGTACTCTGAAGTAATTTGCCTCCTGAAATTTGCCAAGTACCTTACAAAATACACTTCAGTGATCTTTGGAGAGGCTATTCCTACACACAATACCTTTATTCTGAGCAGAGCATTAAGCTGCCAGCAGCAGTGCATGGCAAGAAAATGGTGCTCCATCTGAAGTTCTAAGAGATGCTTTGAAGTTGTGAGTCAAGGTTTTATCTAGATTTAGCTAAAGTAAAGCTGGTCATGATGTTCACAGAGGCTTTGGTGGTGTTATAGAATAGCTGGCATTGCTTTAACAACAGCCACCAGAAAAGTGGCATGGCTTTGGTCAGGTCTGACGTCCTCCTGCCTAGCTTTTCCAGCCATTCCCTTCTGCCCATTTTCTTTTTGGTTTTGGTTTGTTGTTTTGTTTTTTCACTTAGAGACAGGGACTCTCTTTCATTCCATGGCACTCACCAGTGTCAGTAAAGCCTCTGGCTGCTCCTGCCCTGTAAAGTAGACCTGCCCTGAAGCTGTCTGCACCATACCACATCCCAGGAAACCACCCTGCCACTGCCTTCAGGTGGACACTCAGTGTATTTGACACATTTAAGTTTTATACCCCACCAAAATAAATTTAAAACATCCACTACACTGCCTTTCTCAGATGAAGGCACTGCTGTAGGTTATAACAAATTCCCTTGCCTGCTTATTAAAAGAGCTGCAGGATATCTGCTGTCCAGGCAAAATTCATCCTACATCAGATGGTCCCAAAGCAGAAGAGTTGCAGTTCTGTAGAGGTGGGAAAGAGAGAGCAGTGGGGATTTCCTGCCTCACATGTGCCAGGGGAGCTGATGGTGCTGGGTGGTACCAACAGGATCTCCAGCTGGGCAGGTCCAGCATCAGCTCTGGCTCCTGCAGCTACAGCAGGGCTTCAATGCACCTCCACCAACTCTTCCATAGCAGCCAGATCACTTGGGTATTTCTCTTTCCTGGATGGAACATCTCAGGAAAGACAGATGTTTCATCATGGACAGGAGACAGAAAAATGCTGCCCAGATGTCAACTGGCAAAGCACCCACCATGCCCGGCAGCCTCACTGAGTGGATCTGTGGAAACAGAGGAGAGCTGCTACAAAGGGCCAGCTGGAAATGTATAACACAAAGAAGGAGGATGTAGCAGCACAAAAGGACCCTTATTTCAACGTCTGCCCTGTGGTAGGCTTGAGGCTGCCTTATGCAAAATGATCAAGGCTCTTAGCAGAAGCTCAAACTGAAGCTGCCAAGGGAAACATCACAGAAGCTTTAAAACCAAACCCTTTTTCAGCTGGGACCATCAGAACTCACTTTGTTATAGAGTCAAGCCCAGTGATGACAAACCACACAGCTGCTTTTGTATAAATGTGCTTCTGGACAGTGGCCAGGTTGGTGTGGCCATGGCCAGGGAGCAGGAACAGCTGCTGGTGCTTTCCCTCCAGCAGCTCCTGTGGAGGCTCCTCACATACTGCTGCCCTCTCCCAGTGCCAACACTTCCCAAAGATTCCTAACTTACTATCCTGAAGATTCTTAACTTACTTTCAGCTATGGAAGCATTCCTTTTGTAATATTTATAATTATTGCACTAGTTGGAGCTCTCTTTTACGGAATCCTTGCTTTATGTTCCCTTTCTGTGTTTGCTACAAACCACTTATAATAATTATAAATATTATTATATTTATAATTATAAGATCCACAATCTAAAATCCACTTATAATAATAATTATATATATTATTATATTTATATATATACATTATTATATTTATAATTATAATATATATGCCCTCCAAACCCACCCTTTGTGAGAGCTCTCCTACAGTGCAGGGCCTCAGCTCAGGTGTTGGAGCAGCAAGAGGTCCCAGTGGCACCTTTTCACCATTTAGGTGGTCACTGCCTTCATGGCCACAGGAGAAAGGCAAGATCAAGTAGCCACAAAGACTGAATTGGCTCCTGTCAGGGTGGGTCAGGCATATTAAGAGGTTTTAAATACTGTTAAAAGCTTGCCTTTCATGAAGGAGCCATCAGTCAAGTGTTTTCAGACTTATTTCAGCTACCCAGTTTCTGCAGTGGTGTCACCTCACCTGTAAGCATCAGTACCATCTATGGCAAGTAATCTTTCAACATTTCCAATTAATTTCCATGAATGTTCTCAAGTGCCACACAATAACATGACACTAAAAAAGCATTATTTCCTCCCGGTGTCATCCTCTACTTAGCTTTTTCTCATAGTCAGATTTATGATTTTAATCTCTGTTTTATAGAACTTATCACTTTTAACAACCAGAAGAAAATGCTAAATTGTTTTTATTGCTGTTAGATGTACAAAGACACGATGCTATACACTGTCATTTACATTTCACATTAAAAGTGAAATATGCCGTGAATGTGCAAGTATTGGTTTTAATTTGACCCATCTGTTAAATGAAAAACAAAGAGGACTTCTAAATCACAATATTTAAATTCAGCAATTTGTAAACAATTTATATGTTCATTTCTTCTGGGTTAAAACTGCCCTAAAGCATCACTGTTATGAAATCTCCAAATTAAATTGCTTTACATTGTTCTCAGAAAGGCGAGCCAGAGTTTCTTGCTCCTCAGTTTATTAATTTATTCCCCAAGCCAAGTAAATTAGCAAGGCTTGTATTAAGAGTCTGAAATAATTTTGGGGAATTCACACAAGTATCTCCTGCCTCCAGAAAGCTGAGAGTACAGTGGGAGTGTTAGATACACAGGGGGGCAAATTCCCTTATCAAAAAGGGCAAGTTGTTTTCATTTATTCAGCACTTTTGCATCTCCTATTCTTCCTGGTACTATAGAGTACCAGGGAGAATAATCAAGAAGGGGAGGAAGAGTCATGGCAATTTACCTTCCCCTCTCAGCCCAGCCAGGATTTGGATCTTAGGTTTGGCTTTAATGGGAGGGAGAGCCACACATATCTAAGGATCCCCCAGGCAGCCCTTCCAGAGCAGATCCCTTTTTCTGCTTTGTGCCACAGGTGTGTTTAGCTCCACTGCTGAGCCTGACTCCCAGAAATCTGCACTGTCACTGGAGTGAGGGACACAGAGGCCTTTTAATAAACCCCAGATGGAACCTCTCCACTCCGTGTGAGAGGAGATTATTTCTTGATTTCATGGCCTGACATAGACCATGGCAAAAGCAGGACTAGATGAGGAAGCAGAGAATCCTAATGGGAAAAAAAATATTAAATAGGAGGGAAAAAGTAATACAAAATCTAATCTACTTAAAGTTGTAGAAGTGGACAGATGCACGAATTTCAAGTCCCTCTCTGCTATATCAGCCTGAGCACCAAAAAGCAACATAGATACTGGGTGTACAGTGCATTCCTACCCTGGATCATTCATTTATTATATCCAGCACCATAATAAGGGACCCAACAAAACAGGAACTCACAGCAATGCAGGCAGGACATGATTAAGGGTGCCTGTAAGACTATCAGCAAACGTGGAGGCTGCATGGATCACTGCCCAGAAAGATTCCAAGCTGGTGGAATGACAGCTCCATTAGTTTTTTGTCTGATGAATGTGGCGAGAGAGATCAGAATCAAACATAATTTCAGGGTTACAGGCCTTCAAATAAAACCAGAGGAAAAAAAAATTCAAAGAGGGCAACCACAATTTGTGAGACCAAATCAGCTCTGCAGTCCAGCTTCCTTAATGGTCAAATGCAACACAGCCACAACTGCTGAGGCTGAGAACTCTCCAAGGAGCATCCTGAATTAACAGGGAAATGCCTTCAGAGAGAGACAAGCTTCAGATCTTGCAAGACAGACTTCCCTCCCTTCAGCAGCCTTACTAAATACATTCATATTTGTAATTTAGTGGGAAAACATATATAAATATATAAAACATGTATAAATATGTAAAACACATATATAAACATAAAATATTTATATAAAAATATATTTAAAAACATATATAAATATATAAAACATATCTAAAGTAGAGCTACTTTATAGCCAGGCAACTGTTGCTACCCCAAAGGTCAAGCTGCAACAGCCTGTCACCCATATTTCTGCATGCAATAAAATCCAACAGAAACAGCAGACAGTGAGTGGATTTTTCCTTCTCTTTCCCTCCTTCCTGTTCTAATGACGAAAAGAACCAAAAGCACACAGAAACATCAGGCTTCTTGAAATGTATCATTGAAACCAAAAGTATTATCCCTCATTTTGTACCACTTTCAAACCCTTTGGGAGAGCTTGGTGAGATATAAATGGAGGTTTCTGGGATTTTTATTTTGGTGAGATATATTTCTGGTGAGATATAAATGGAGGCTTCTTCCCAAGCAGAAAGGGGATAGGGAGGGAGGGGAGGCAGAGTAGGACATGGCTCTTACCCAGGAATAAAGTGATCTGTCTCCTGGAGCTCTTGCCCTCTGAACCCTCACTTTTCCTCAGGTGCTGCCCCTGGTGCTTCACTCCACCCTTCACCGCCACAGTGCCCTTCTTGTGGATCATCAGGGCCTTCATCATGCTGTGGCACATGAAGGTGACAGAGCCCAGCACAACGATGTACACAGCGAAGGCACTGAAGATGCTGGCCTGGAACAGCGACCACCTGGAGGAGAGGCAGGTGCAGATGGTCATGTTGTGCTTCAGCTCAGGGATGTAGTGCCTGGGAGTGGGCTTGACACAGGAGCTCGTTCTCTGGTAGCCCTCGATGGCCTCCAGGGGATATTCCGTGCCCATGGCGAAGAGCAGGGGCAGAGCCACAATGACAGATGTCCCCCAGACAAAGGCAATGAGCAGCTTCACCGTGTGGGGCCCGGACACGGCCTTGAACCTGAAGGGGTGGCAGATGGCCACGTACCGCTCAAAGCTGAGCGTGGCCACGTGCAGCACCGTGGCGTAGCTGCAGGCCTCAAAGAGGAAGTAGTACAGCTTGCAGGCAACGTTGCCATTGGGGGTGGAGAAGGGGCTCCAGATGGCGCTGAAGAATTCCACGGGCATGCCCAGCAGGATGACCAGCAGGTCAGAGCAGGCCAGGCTCACCATGTGGTCGGTGACCTCCTTCTGCAGGTAGCCTTTCTTCTGCAGGATCCTGGTGACTTTGATGGTGACGCTGTTGCCCAAGAGGCCCGCGATGAAGATGCAGATGTAGATCAGGGCCAAGGTGATCTTGACCCACAGAGCCACCTCAAACTCTGGGACGTGGCTGTGGTCGATGACAGGAGAACAGTCTGAAGAGGGTGTCTCTCCTGCCATGAGCAGTCCCAGGGTGGAGGAGGTTTTCTCCTGCCCTCTCCAAGTCTCCAGTTCACAGCAAACAGATTCTCCTCACTTTGCCCCTCTCCCCGAGCCACACATGTCCGAGCAGTCAGGTATAATGAGTGTGTCTCAACCAGCCACACCTGTGGGCTTTGTTGGTTTGTGAGCAACAGCCTCTGAGTCAGTAAGTTAAACAGGAAAGTGTTTCAGCCCTTACCTTTCTTCATAGCAAACACTTCTTGCTCTTTTTGGATTTTCCTTCTCCTTTCTCCACGGGTGAAGCCTCTGTTCTCCAGCCCTTCACGGTGTGAGCTGCTCTGCTTTCCACGTTTGTCTGTTCCCCAGCAAGCAAAGCAGCTTTTGGTCCTGGCCCCAGCAGGAGGAAGTCAGAGTCTCTGTGGTTATGTTACCCTGTTAACCATTAACCAAAATCTTGGCCATCCTTAGTCACTGGCAGCACAGCAGGTTTCGAGAGAGGGAAAAAATAGAAAAAAGCAAGCCCCTCATATCTGAAAGTCACTTCCTGTCACAGGAAGAGGTGTTTGTCCTAAAGCTGTGGTTTGGTTGTCAGGCTGAGTGTGTGAATGGTGCTGAAGAGAAAGTATCTCCTCATGAAAACATTCCCTGGGCTCCAGACTTCACTGTTGTGTGTGTTTCTGCCCACATGCTTCACTACTGCACATTTTCTTTAACGAAGATCTCGCATCTGCAGTGCTGGTTATGGAGCCTGTGCGGCCACAGACTGATTTACATCAACAGGAGGTTCTGGTTTTCAGCTGCTGCTGATGAACTGGTAGCTTCTTAAAATACCTGCTTAGACAGACTCTAAAGAGGCTTCTTGGAAGTTATAAAATAAGATGAGCTCTAGATTTAGACACGTGGATTCTTTCCCTTCAAATTTCCATCTTCTCATGTAAGATAACAGAAAGAACCAAGTTAGTAATCCCAGTCATGCCAATGCTTTCAAATAATCTGGAGTGGCAGGGATGCAAATGTTCTTCCCCCTCCTGTGTCTTATCCCACGGGGAAAGAATTTGATGTGGTCTTTAGTTTGAGTTTCAAATCATAGCACTGAATGCTCCCAAGGTAACCCCTGGAAACATTTAATTACAGGGGGTGTATGTAGATTGGGAAACCTTTAAATTACAATGCAAAATGACAGTAGAGCTTTTGCAGCTGTAATAGAGAGAGGGCTAGTACAGTGATCTGCTCCAGTGCCAAATCTAAGAGCAGTGGGCTCACAAAGTGATTTTTATTAACTAGACAAGCTCATGTGACACTTGCAGCTCATGATAAAAGAGAAACATTAGGAAATTGTCATTAGACAGTCTCCTCACTTTCAGTGGTTATCACTGCACCTCAGCAGCCCAAGTACACAATGAACAGAAAGATGCCCCAAACAGGATAATCAGCACCTGTGTCTGTGCATTATTTATGCACTTCTGTTTCCGAAAAATCGCCTCAAACCTGGCAGAACTTCAAGCTGTGTAGCTCCAGTCATCTTTCCTTACGTTTGATAATTCACATTTGTTCTGCTTAGACAAGCTTTCTATTATTACCCCATTTCTTTCACTTAATTTTACTTTATAAAAGTGTGAACAAAGATTACATATGCATGACTGAATTGTGGAAATGAAGCTAATTAAAATTTGCTGCTTACCATCAAAAGGGAAAAGGGAGAGAGAGAGAGAGAGAGAGAGAGCAAAAGAGAAGGCCCAATAGGATTAGATCTCCCCCTTTCTTTCCACACCAATTATAAAATGCAGAACACATTTTTACGTTTTCAATATTATCTTTAGAACATACACAAAGTTTATTAAGTTTCTAATAAAGAGCTGGTGCCACAAAGGGGATAGGAAGGAAAGAGACAATTGTGGATAATCATAGATGGAGACCATTAAAAATAAAAAAATCCTCCATGGGTTACTGGACTAGATAAACCAGGAGTGAGTATTCCAGAGTAAAATGCCTATTGTGGGTGATTACAGGAAGATATATCTTCCTGGAGAGAGGCATTTCTCCACAACTAAATATGCTTAATGCCGCTTTGTGGCATGGAGGTTCAGTGCTCACAGTCTTTACCCCGGTGGATGTGATACCAGTTTAAAAACTCAGGATTTTTGTAATGGTCCCACTTTAGGCATTTCATCAAGTCATTAAGTTTTCCTTGTAGCAGTGAATACCATGAGTTAATTTCTGTGTTGTTGCCTTTCCCATAGCAGTTTTGAAGGTGAATGTGGAGTTGTACCTGGGAGAACACTCCAGGGAGTCCCTCCTGACTTAATTTGTTGCAATTGCACACCGTGACTTCTGCTGCTGAGGAGAAGGAGGCAAGAGCATTGAGGACAGAACCCACAGTATTTCCCTTCCAAATCAGCACCCGTGGATGCTGCACAGCCCCTTGGTGAGAGAGCTGAGCCTCCTGGGGATGCAGATCCCATGGGCTCGGGGGGCAGCTGCTCTGTGTGCCCTCACTCAGCCACTCCATGCTCTCACAAATGTTTGTGGTGATGCAGTTGGTAAGAGATGACTGAGAATTAGCACTGAGATGGAGCACAGATTGTTGCTGTAGTGCAAAAGATGATTTTTCACCTTCAGATATAGCAGAGCTGCTGTGATGGCCAGCCCCAGTTTGTTATCCAACACAGTGTACAAGGTTTCCTGGAGGGCTGTTTTGCTTTCTGGCCTCTTCCTTGGATGCCACCACGGTGAAAAGGCTTTTGGGGCAGAAGAAAGCAGAGCTTTACTATCCATCCACTGAGTGAAGCTGCCTTTGAGCACCTTGCAAAGCTCACCCACCACTTTGCCCCTCACAGTGCCCGTGGACAGTGAGGGATAAGGCATCCCAAACTTCTGAAGAGGTAAAAACTGTCAGGTAGCAAAAAATCGTGGCTGGAATAACTGTTGGGAAAACAAACCCGTTGGACAGATGCAACAGCAGGTTGCAGGTTAACTCTTTCCAGCCTGCAGTTCCAGCTGCTCCTGCCTGCCCAGAGCCCTTCCCTCCCTTGTTGGTGCAGCATCACCCCGTGGTCACTGCTCGAGTGCCACACAGCACAGTGCCAGGCTGCTCTGACTGGCACACAGGCACTGCCACACTCCCGTTTGTTATCTCTGCAGAGTTATTTCTCGATAGCTGCGTTGTGAATATGCAAATCCACCTTAATTGGCTGCGCTAATCACACTGCTCCGACTGGTTTCTGTTCTCGAACCGTTCAAGCTACTTGACAGGAACAAAGGAAATATCTCGGTTTCTTGCTTCCCTTAGCTTAAAAACTCTAAAACCTAAATGAAAAAGGAGAGCTATCTCAAAAGCAAAGAAAATGAGGCTGTGAAAAGGATTAACTTTTTTTCAGATAAAACCACATTGACTGTTTTTTTCTTGCCAGTCTTTACCATTTCCCATCTCAGCGAACCTCTTGTCCCCAGAAGAGCTGTGATACCTTTGTCTTGCCAGTATTTGTTTAGAGAAAGTGAATCCTGGGCTTGTTCGATTCCCTTTGAAACACAAAGTAAACAAAATGAGATTGCTGTTCTGCAGTGACAGCTACTCTGATCTGCACAGGCTGAGGGGAAAGTGCTGCAGGAATGAAAGGAACAAGCAACACAGACAAAAGTGAAATGTCCGAGTGATTTTAAATGTTTTAAGAAATCAATTTGCTTAAGAGAGCCCATGTTGGCTTTGTAAATTATTTTTCATTAGAAATCTAAATAATTAAAGACAGCTCTCAGATAACTTGTGGCTTCTTTCTGCTTTCTGGAATCTAAGAAGCCTCTTTACCCTTGAGGTCCCTTTCTATTCTTCTGGGGAGTTGTTCTTGAATCATATTTTTCTTCTTTGGAAGATTATTGTGATAGTTAATAATATAAATAAACACAAGCCTTTTGTGAAGTTTATTTCTTATTAATTTCTCTAGGAGTTTGGGTTTGGGTGAAACAGTTTAATGACCCCTGTGCTGTTCACTGCTTGGCTCCTTTTCTTCTGGCAGCATGAGAGGCTGGGTTATGTGAGCTGGGCAGTGCATCTTCCATGTAACCTGAACATCCATAATGAATTCTAATGGAATCACAAAGGTTGCACGTGGAAAGCTGGCATCTTTTATTCAGCCATGTGCAGTGCTACCTGCTGTGATGCCATCCTCTTGGAGCAGTGCACTGTGAGTGTTTGCTTATTTGGAGGATAAAGACAGGATTTCAAGAGTGCTTCCAGGATACACAGTGAAAAAGGTCTCTGCTCCAAATCATTCCATCTAAATAAATAGATGAAAGCACTTCTCTGCTTGCAGTGTATTTTACAAATTGGCAAGCAACATGAGAAGAAACTGGGCACAGTGAGAATAAATTGTTTGTCCAAGATACAGAAAACCTGTGCAACACCTGAGCCTCCTCACCAGTACACTAGGCTCCTGCTAACTTCCTCACATGAGCTGCAGCACCCAGACTGCTGAGCAACAAATGCACTTCCACAGGTCTTCACCGGCTGCTCTGGTGCTTTTAACTGATGTTAATTCATGGTAATTAAAGCACAAGTGCAGCAGCAAAACTCATAACACAGTCATATCTGGAACTGGTGAACAATGCACCACCTGCTGTCTGATCTCCCTGGTAAACCAACAAATGCACTAAGCCGAGGTCCCAGTAATCACAAATCAACTGTATTGAACTCATATCCTGAAATACTTGTCAGACTTCCCTCTGTCTGAAGCACAGTGACCCCAAAGCACAGCATTTGGTTCAACAAATCTCAGTCTTGGGGCACAATCCCCAGCACACTGAATCAAATCCCATTCTTCTCTGTGCAACTTTTAAACTTCCACCTTGTCCTGATAGATGTTAATGGCTGCAAAATACAATTCAAAGCTCCTATTGGAGAGCATACTCAGTTCCTCATGTCATATTTTAAGTGAAACTCTTCTGTGCAGTGCACTTTTCCAGCTCAACTTTTGACAGAGGTTCACACTTTTGGATGCTGCTATGCTACTGCCCTAGAAAAAAAA